TGGGGCAAACAGAAGGGACTGGACCAGAAAAGGCTGAAATGAAAAACGATAAGAAGCCATCAGCCGGCCACTTTGCTGACCGTTTGGTTCTGTTTGGGTTTGTCCAGGCTGTTGTGGAGTGGAAAAAGGGTTGGGGTGCATGAGTGGGTAATGTTACAGCTCTGAGGCTCGGGTGGAGCAGGATCATGGAGGGTGAAGGGGTGGAGGGGTTGTAAGGACGCATGTGGATCAGCCGGCCAGCTTGCTGGCCACCAGAGAGGGTTTCCTTTGGGGCAGGTCCTGGGGGGTGGGGATGTGGTCCCCTGTGATCTCTGTCTTCTCCGGCGCAGCTGTTGGCAGCTGTTTGTTCTTGATCTTCGCTTTAGCCATGTTGTAATCGCCAGAGTCAAAGTATTTTTGCTGCAGAGAAAGAAAATTCAAGCGTGGATGATACTTCAAAGAAACGACGGCAAACATTTTAGAGCTCCAGGAATGAGGGAAAAATAAATTAGAATGTGCTTTCTGCTCATTGTAAGATCATTTGTACCTTTGGAAATTTAAGCATACTTTTCGTTTCACTCCTGAATTATAAATTTTCAACGTTCACCCCAAAAAACTTGAAAAACCCGTTGGTTGGGCCATGGGGCAGTCATTCAACCAGCAGCTTTTGAGTTACAAAATGTTGAAAGTTGACAATAAATTTGAAAATATCACTTAATAATTAGGTGTTATTGAAAGATTTTGAGATTAATACTTGAACACCAACTATACAGCCTTAAAACATGAAGGCATGTTTTAAGAGAAAGAGTTAGAAAGACTTAAAAAAATAAGCAATATTTAGCCTGGTGGGGTCGTAGGTATAGAATGGTGGAGCGCCAGGCTGAGGGACACCCTGATTTTTTTATATTATGCTGATGTAATATTCTAATTTTAAGCATAATGTTTTCATTAACTGCAAGGGAAAAAAATTGCCAAGATTAACAGAGATAAAGCATGGGAAACACCAGTCTGTGTGCAAGTACTTCATATAATGTGCCTCACTTAGTGATAAAGTTCCTGGAATAAAACCTACATTTCAATAATGTTATTTATTGAATGGCTCACTGTCTCACTGAAATTTTATGTGACAAACCAAAGCAGGAGAAGAAGGAAAAACGTATTAATGATATTATCTATTTTTTTTTCTGCAAATAATCCTTAAAAGTTTGCTATGCATTTATACTGACACCCCTAAATAAAACCCAGACCAAACTACTGCCTTACCAGTAAATGGAGTCCATGAGGGAGATTTTATTAACTTTTTCACCGCTGTCATCACGCTGATGGGAAGCTTTTCATTTCACTGCTTGTAGTTCATTTTTCCTAACAAGCATTCAATTCAGCAGCAGCAATCCATCATTTTTAAATTCATTGTATGTCTTTGGTCAAAGTTTTACAAAAACCTGACATCGAGGACAGAGCACATAATTCTGATCTGATAATCTCAAATTAAAAAAGTGAGAATTAAGAATCTTGGACGTTTCGCAGTAATATCTAAAAAAAATAAAAAAATAAAAATAAACTGACTCACCCCCTTCTGCAAGCGTTTGCGAAGCAAGTCAGAACCTCCGGGTTTATGGCCCAGGTTTGGGTACCTGGCCTTCAGCTTAGCTTCTTCTGCCTTCTCTGGACTGATCACCTTGTCTTGCGACTCCTGAAAACCGGCAGAAACACAAGGTAATTCTTTAATGTCATTAATGGTATCCTGGACCTTATGGTTCATCGATGCAGAGCTATGTCTTGTTTTTAATCAACTTGATGAAGTAAAGAGCATACCTAGTAAAGAGTGAGAGAAGGTGGTCAAAGACAAAGAGACTCTTGTTTTTGTTTCAGTAGTATTCAGTTCCTGATGAATTAGTTACTTTCTGTTAGCAATATTTATTTAGTCACAACTTTGGCTCAATTAATCTGATAATGAATAGGATTTTTATTTTTAATCAGCGGGCATAAGTAACGAATACAACATAAGCTAATTAATATCGGTCCAGTTTTCCTTATATCTGTATTTTTTAAGATATCAGTTAAAAAAATATCAGGCAACCATAGTAATAAGTAACTTTTAGATGTTGAAAATGTTTATTTCAGAATGTAATTGTTAAGTGTGCCTTGGAAATGAATTCAAGCAGAGTGTTCATTTTATGCCACAATATTTCTATTATTATTATTATTATTATTGTGAAAGTGTATTATTTTCTACATTAGCTAACATGGCCTTTTGATTGAAAGCAGCACTTCAAAAGTCAGTGAGTTCTAAGTATTAATCAACAGTTAACCATTAGACGACAATTGAAAGAAATATTTCATGTCAATACCTGCAACAGCAGCAGAAATTTAGCGAGTTTTCATTATGAATATACTGTTCAGATTTATGTTACAACTTTCACATTTTACTTTATAACACCCCAAAAATTCACATTTTTAATGGCTGTAACTTCAACTTTTCACTGACTTTGATGCATTTCCAAATATTTTTTTTTTTGCTTTTTCAAAACAATATTAGCAACAAAAACATTCAGTGCACAGAAGAAAAACATTAGTTCAGGTTTTTCTTGGTTTAAAATAAATTCTCAGATTTTTTAAAATATCAAATCTGATTTTAATATACTTTTCTTGCTTTGTTTTGTTAAAAAAAAATTACAAATAAAAAAATATTTTCAAAGAGGTTGCGCTTATTTCAATCTTCCATTCTGTGAGTTGAATGACAACTTCTTAGGGCTGAATTTGGATAATTATAACAATATAGTCATAATATTAGCAAAATGAAGAAAAATGTTATGAGAAGAACATCTTAAAATAAAGAGAAAATGTTGTTTAAATGAGAAAAAATATCTTTTGTTAATTTTTGTGTTGGAGTTTTCATAAAATTACAACATTATTATGAATTCAATTTCATATTACAACAACTGCATTCTTGGAAGATTATAACTTTATTTTCGTAAAAATAATAATAATAATAATAATAATCTTAGTCTGACTGACCCCAATGTTTTGTTATGGACGTGACCTGAATTCAACATTAATAGAACCTATAAAACAGGTTTGTCAAACAAGATGCTGGGCGTTGACATTATTCTGAACTACAGAAACCCAGGGATTGTATTGGTGTGGTAAAAAAAAAAATTTCACATTTTCCAAAAAAATTCAACCCTCAAAAATTTTAATTTCAATTATTAAAATTGATATGTGGTCCAACCCTACAAAACGTTCACTTTATTGTGATACCTTGAACACCGAAACAATAAAAAAAAATGCAAATATAGGTGCATGAAGAACTCTACTGTTGTGAGACGGTAACAAACTTGACATTTCGGCTGAACAACAATTAATACAAAGTCCAACGTTTCGTGGAAATGTCTAAACTAAAATGTTTAAAAAAAGTGTACATAATGTTTTGCTTTTGGTGAACATTTCAAATGTTTTGAGATATTTAACATCTAAACAGAGTTCTGGATTTTGCAGTATTGACAAAATCCATGTTTTTTTTTATTTGTAATCTACATACATTAGGTTTTCGACACAGTTTTAACACGCTTTAAAATGTTTTACTTACATATGACTTAGTAACAACAATGACTTTAATCAGTGATTCCTCTGCTGACAACAATTAATCCTGTGTTTACATGGTGTTCAGAAACACCATGTAAACCGAATCAGATTAACCAAACTAACATCGATGGGTCAGAGATTTCCAGCGCTTTCCTCACGACAAACAAACCACCAGTTCAACTGCAGAAACAGTTCAGGTCAAGGTTACGTAGAACAGGTGTGTAACACCGGGACAGGTAGCTACGTTTCAGAAAACTGAACAGGAGAGAAATAGATGCTAGCCTGGGTTTAAGCTAAGCTAATGGTAGCTGCTGGTTTGACTGCATGAGAATGTTCTGATAGCTAGCAGCTAACGCTAGCCTGCGCTCTGACATTCGTGACAAACAGAGAGGTGCTAAAGACGGAGCAGCATGCAGTGGTATAGCTGGAAGCGTGGTCTTGTAATCCCTGGAGGGGTTAGCTGTTGGCTTTGAAGGAAGCGTCAACCATGACAAGCGCGGGTAGAAAGCAGCTAAACGTTAGAAGGCAGCTAAAAACCATAGAGTCAACGGCTAAAGCTTCCTGCTAAGAGCGGGTTGTGCTTACCGTCTCCTCCACCGGTGTCTCCTCTGCGGTCTGGGTTTCGTCGTTGTCCTCCGACATGTCTAAATCTGCCTTCAGCTGGACCAAGGCACTGCCCGCTGGCTTCACAAATGGTCGTGAAATTAGCTTTTTAACCCCCCCCCTCTCTCTCCTACACCAACATAGGGCTGCTAAAGGGCTCGCTCCCGCACAAAATATTCTACGTCACATGCGGCGGAGACACCACGCGCGCTCCCGTTCCGCTCGGGTTGCTCATATGACGCTCGCGCTTCCTCTTCACCTTCTCTCAGCTTTAAGATTGACGTTGCGTAATGTGAACCCGATCAGCTGTTGGGGCCACGTGCTGTCACTAAATCCCGTCGGTAATCCTCGGACACGGAGGATGCGGAACTGATGAACCAGAGCAGCTTGTTTTCTTCGCTTTTTTTTTTTTTTTTTTTTTTTAAAAAAAGGAGTATCGTGCATGTATTCCCTTGTGGTCATCATGAGTCATCATCCCACGGTTCAGTATCATTACATTCGCTCTCCGGAATACATTATCGCTGCAAATCGACCGTCTCGCCGTAACACCTGACCTTAACCGCAGTGCACTCTCTCAACTCCAGCATACTTTGCTATGCAGAGGAGTTGATGGACAACCGAACACTCGCAGAATCTCCAGAACCTGTGGCTCAAGTATCATCTGGCTTACTCCCTCTGCGCTAAACGTGGGTCAACCTAATGTTGATTTGTGTACTTTTTCACTAACTGTAAAGTAAAAAGCCGCCAGGAATCTCATAGTAAGTCGTCCCTCGGTGCATTTAAAGATGAAGAATCACTGTGAAAATTGAAAACAAGACCACAGAATACCAAGATTGCTTTAGAAGATATAGATATATATATTTTTTCGATTTGAATAGTAATGTCAAAAATACACACTATGATATACAGTTTGCACTACATCATCTTAGCATGACAGACGTCACAAATAGTAACTGAAATATTAATTTAAATATTAAATAAACTGATGGTAAGTAAATTGAAAAGTGAACGTGTAAACACTAAACTAATGTTACTCATTCTATTGCAACAGTTCCAATAAAGTGGTTTTTGTAACAGTACAAAAGTATTAGAATATGACTATTTTCTGTTCCATTTCCAGTTATAACGAAGAACCAAAAGGGGAAATAAAATAAAATAAAATCCACAGTGCACAGTTTGATGTTCTGCTGCGATGTTTTCAGGTACATTATCGTGATTGCTTGTTCCTTGATGGTCCAAGATTTGTGTTGCACCACAGCCTGGTTCCGCCTGCTTCCCCCTAAACAGCTCAGGAATCATAGGGTCACACATTAGAGGTCATGTTCTGTAGAGCCAATCGAATATGCAAAATAAGGAAAATCTTAGCAATAATCGGCTTTGTGTTGAATTAGAGACGACGTAAACAGAAATGGAACTTATTCTGAGAGGAAAAACATTTTGATTTGTGCCAGCAGAAAAAAAAAGACCTGAACTTCTTTGATTAAATTAAAGCCAGATACAAGAGGGGTTACATTAAATTCCAGGACAAGAAGAAACAATATGATTCTAATATTGCAAAAAAAAAAAAAAAAAAAAAGAATTTGAACAGTATCATGAACTCCTCCAATAGCTAACTTTCTGACTAAATCCCTCTGTTCCTATGATGTGCAATTCACAAAGAACAAGGTGTATCTATGACGAGTCTCTCAGTCTCCTTGTCGTCCCCATTTTTGTTTTATTGGGCGATGAACAGGATGGAACTGAAGTCTTTGGATACAGGTCAACGGCGTCTGTTGACTTCTGTCCTCGGACCCCATCTCTCTCTCTCTCACAAAAAAAAGGTCACACAACAGACTGATGGAGTGAGTTAGAGTCTAGTGCTGGCTTCGAGGTGTGGCTGAAGTTTCAGTAATGGACTGTCGGATGGAGGGATGAAGCGTTTGGCTTCAGCAGCGAGGAGAAAATGGAGGATCTATGGGAGATTCTGTGAAGGACTGGAGCTCATAGGCAGCACCGCTGTCCACCTCCATGGACTTCCTGGAGAACAACAGACGGATGTCTCTATGAAGGTAGAGCTTTCCAGACTTTGAGCTCTGGAACCTGGTGGTGATGAGAAGGGAGAAGATGAGCATAGAAGGAAAAGCAGGGTTTCACAAACTCAAATTGAAGATTTTTAAGACCGTTATAAATACATTTTAAGACCTGTATTATGACAGAAATGTACAAAAGAAACAGCCATAAACCCCATAGTGTCAAGCTTTTTGCACTGAATGAATGTAGCATTGTGTGGGTTAGCAACAGAAGTGATCCGATGGTGAAAAGTCATCCAGCAAAGTGGTGAAAAATTTGGACTTAAACTATGGCTAGATTTCTCTTAGCTAGCTGCTGAGCTAGCTAGTTTCTCTCCTCCCTGTTATCTACTAATGTTATCTACTAATAACATAACTTTATGTTATCTACTAATAAAGCTTCAAATATACATTTGCTAGCTAGCAATCTTTGCTAGCCAGCTAGCAAAGGTGTATTAGCAACTAGCCACAAGAAGCCTCAACCGCTTTGAGTCAGAGAACCTATTGAAGAAGTGACTTAAACATTTGCTTGACAGAAAAGGCCCACAAGAAAAATATCCTACATAGAAAACACTAGATTAAACAGTCCTGCCAGCACAAAATTTAAGACCTGTGATTCACATATTTAAGGCCTACCTACCTTTAATAATAATAATTAAAAGCATTTTAAGGCCTTAATTAATACATGAATTTAAGACTTTCAAGGATGCTTGGGCACCCTGAAAAAAAAAACTAAATAAAACAAGAAAGCTGAGTAACCAGTCCAAGACAGAAGCAGCTATGTCACCTCAGATGGATAAGGTAGCGCAGCGTGCGGCCTTGGCCCGGAATGAGGGGCTTCCTGTTGGTCTGATTGTTGGCGTCGCGGCGAACGGGAACAGAAAAGGTTCTCTGGCGTAGGAAGGTCTGGTGTCCAGCTGGCATGGCTCTTAGGTCGTACATCACAACAAACATCTTCACCACTGTCTTGTTAGGGTTGAATAAGGTCTGAGGGAAGGAACCAGACAGAACAGCACAGTTTAAACAGACCGTCCAGGATGTCATGAGGATTAAATGTCAATGTAAACAATAGCAGGCGACACTATAGAGATAGAAGAATAGACGCTGAATCCATACAGAATGTCAAATGTTGACCGACATTTTGTTGAGACATTTGTGAAAAAGCTCAACAAAATGAGCTTTGATTGAGGGTATTTGTTTAAGCCCTGTGATCAAATCCCAACACTGAGAAACTTAAATAAAAATATATTATCCGAAAATAAGCATTTTATATATATATATATATATATATATATATATATATATATATATATATATATATATATATATATATATATGAATTATTCACCGTTTAATAATCTCTTGACAATACAAAATAGTGGAAACTTTATATCACATTAAAGTAATTCAGCATATTTTGAGTCAGTAGTAAATTAGAGTAAATTTATATTTGTTTCCTTCTGGCTGTTTTGTCTCACTTTGACTTGCAGATTTTGATGATTTCCTCAGTGATGATTGTTTCTAATACTACAACACTGCTGAATACAAAAATGATTTATTAAAATAAATGCTACAAACTTCCATATTTCTTTTATTTGAAATTTTCAGTCCAAAGACATACTTCTGTTATATAAAATGATTTTGCCACTTGCAACATGTTGGCTATATGTGCAGATGCATTGGATTTACTGAGCATTGAAGCCAAGCTGGCTTACACTTTTCTCTGTCAGTGAATGGCAAAATGGGCTCATCTTTCTTCTGTAACTAGAGTGCACAGAAAATATTTTAAATATAGAAATCTAGGAGCCGAAAGGGAATTAAAATCCAAGGCCTTTGCAGTGCTTTCGAACCAGGATCTTATAAGATGAAGTTTCCCATCTGGCCACTAGGTGACTCCAACTTCTGCTTAGGGGCTTGGCTTAATGTGCTCTTTGTTCATGCTGCAATGGAAATACTGCATTGACATAAATATTCTTGACATTTCTAAAACTGTGAAAAAGAAATTCCTAACCACTTGAATGGTTCCTGATGCAGGTACACGGTAGCCCCTTTTTCCCAGGGACTCCAGGTTAATCACACCCTGTGAGAGAACATAACGACAATCACGGTGTCACCAGCAGCCATCCCAAAGGAGCTCACACACGCACACACACGCACACACACACGCACACACACTAAGGACAGTTTCATCTTCAGCCTCAGCCATGCAGGGTTTAATAAGAAAAAGAAATTAAAAAAAGGAATTTGGTTCAGGAGGAAATCTAGCTCACCATGTATGGGGAGGGAGCGTTATCATCGGAGACGCTGTAGAATGACACGTCGACTGGCAGGGTCAGGTGACTTGGGCAGAAAGAGCCGCTGGCTCCCACCTCTGCTGTGAAACCTTCAACTGTCCCTAAAGGCTCAAGTCGATAGTTCAACACACACTCCTAGAGAACAGTTAGATATCAAACAATAAAGATTATGGGATATTTTTATTGTTGCATCTCCCCCAAAGGGGGGCAGAATAAATAAATCAACATTTGAGTCTAGAGATTGTTCAGCATGGAAAATTTTTGGATTAGGGACGCAAACAATTAATCGAGCTACAATTAATTGTTGATTAATGTATTATTAAATTAAAATGAGTTCTAATCAACTAACTTTAATCAGCGACAACTTCTTAAACAAAATTACTGATTTGATTTGGTACATTTGCGAGAATGTACCATGGGGTGTTAGGGCCACTGTTCACAGAAAAGGAAAAACAGGAGAACATTTACACCAAAAAAAAGGAAAAAAAAAGATATTTCTGAGGATACAATTGAGCTTTGCCAGAAAATTATCTCATAGATATTCTAGAAAAAACATGGACTTCTCTTAGTTTCAAGTTCCAGTTCATGAGTTCCCCAAAAAAATTCCAGAAGTGGAAAATGTGCGACTTTTCAAACTCAAACTGAAAGTTTTTCTGTAGAATTTTTTGATAAATCATTTTTTTTCTAGCAAGCTTTTGACATTTCAAAGTCAGAAATGTCCATCTCTTTTCCAAGAAAGTTTTTTTTTGTTGTTGTTGCAGAAATTCTCTTTACTTTTCTTTCTTTTTTTCAGACATGCCCCCAACACACCATGTAAATGTAATGATGACAAAAAAGTGGAGGGAAAATTGTAACATGATACAAAAAGGCATGATACCAATATGTATTGTTGATTTTGAGGATTGTCCATGTCTAATATTTAAGAAAACTACAATTATCAGTTTATTCAGTCAATATTTAACACAGATGACACACAAAAATAGCTCAAATATAATGTGCTTCTTTTTTAAAATTCACAATAAGAAAATATAATGTATGTTTTGGAAAAACAAAACTCAGGTTTTTAAAACAGTGGTCAATTAATCGTTTGCCGATTGATAAGAACGATCAAGTTTAGATGAACTCGTTAATCGATAGCTTGCATCTCCATTTTTGACCGAAGACGACTGATTATGTGTCCTACCTCAAAGTTTCCTAGCAGGCTTAGACTGGCAGGAGGAGCGCTGGCGCTGAACAGCTGATGTGACTCATCGGTGTTCTCATCTCTCTTTGGACACACCCTAAAGGGTTAAAAACCACACATGCTTGATCAACTTGTTCTTGAAGCGCTGATGTAACACAATCTCAAATGATAAAAGCCTCCTGGTATGTGTGTTAAACACCACCTCAGGCTCACCTATGTGTTTGCAAACAGCAGTGTTAGCCACCTGAACAACAAGGTCGACTGGTCTCACTCGGATCTTTAAATAGCGATGAATTTCTAAGCAGGTCATCGGACGCAAGCGTGATGGTTGGAGTGAACCTTCAGCCTGGATTTCTGAACTCCTCAAACATCTGCTTTCAAAAGAACACTGCTGAGCTCCCACCCACAGCTTCTGTGTGTAGGCTGAGGCATGAATCCCTGTGTATATAAAGCCAACTTAGTCCTGACTGCCATTTACAGATGAATGCGTGCTATTGTAGTTTGAGCCACAGCACGGCAAAGACAAATTAGCTTTCCCTTCCATCTATAGACCCAGAAAAACATCAAAACACAACAATGTCCGACCAAGGAAAGTACTGGCGCTTTGGCTGGTCACAGACAGATAAGATTCTAATTTCAAGTATACACTGAAGCGGCAAGAATGAATTAATCTGGGACTTCAAACTCTTTTTGCTCTGGTATGGCAGATTAATTTTCTTAAAAACAAGAATTGGCTGCAAAGTTTGCATGATTTGTGGCCGCACTCCAATGCATCATACAACCAAACTAATACTTTCTTGATGGTTCCATATAAAGTTCCAGAGAAAACACAGGTGATATTTGGCAACTTTTCTCATCAGAAGTAGCAGAACTGGTTTAATGAGGTTTCTAGCTCAGACCAAATCATTCCAGGGGCTCATTGTCTGGTCTTATAGTTTCTAAAACTAGCTTGAATGCGAGTTTGTTTGGGATCACTGTAGAAAAATCAAGTTGTGTCCCAAGTTTCGACCACATATCAGTCATTACTGATAAAATATTGATTAGTTTTTTGATTAGATATCTAAAATGCTGCCACAGTGGTGACCTCTTCTGTTTAAGAGTTTCCTCTCGAGGTGTTGTACTCCTGTTCTCCTTAAACTCCAGGTTGTTTGTAATTTTAAAGCAGTTTTGAGGCACAGCGGTGAAACCTGAAACTGCTGCTGCGCAAGTTACTCAGGTTGTTGCTAGGTACCCAAATAATGAACGAGTTAGTAAATGCCAACCAACCTGCTTAACTGGCCGTGAGAGGTTTAGTGGTTCAAGCCTTTCGTGTGCCAAAATCTCACATTATACTATGTGATTGAATGAAATTATGACATTTTATCAAAGGTTTTTTCAGTCACAATTTATTGTCAAGTCCTAATTTGAGATGAAATTGAGAATTAGGTTGGAATTAGTACCAGATGCAGCAAAATAGAGCATCAGCATGATGCGGCCACCGCCATGCTTTACATTACAGTGTTCTCAGGCTTTGAACACCTTCCAAACATATAATTAGTCTAACTAAAACTATCCATACTACCTTAAGGCAGTTGAAATGCACCAGGAAAACAAAAACAAATTGTGATATACTTCAAGCACTGTCCTTTAATAAGTAAAGGAGAGAAATAAAGACTGAGCCAGACTTCCTTTTTTCCCAAGTTTCAATATTTTCTACTCTGGATATACACTGCATCTCTGGAGAAGCTTATAGTTATTAAAAGAGGACTGCTGGTTCAACTAAAATGCATAATTTAGTAATAATAAAGTCTGTTATCTTAATTTATACAATTCAGTTCTTCCACCCACTCTCCTGTAAATCCCACAACACGGCCTGATAGAATATGTCACTCTGTTGTTCCATTTGGCAGCAAATTTCACATCTAACGTTAGATGTTTCCCCGGGTTGATATTTTAAGCATCAACCAACGGAAAAACCCCCATAAACTGAGCTGTCGTTGGAAAAAAATCAAAATACAGTCGGTTTCAAATTCGCCATGCAAAGAATAAGTAACTAGAGCCGGCAGGAAGTTGACAGGCGAGGAAGGTATCAGCTGTTATTACACCCGTCCTGGATCAGTGACTTGAGCCTCATTCGACCTTGGCCAGGTGGACACACTGAAGTTTGCAACTACATTAAGAGAGATCCCAGGTGAGAAAATGTGTACCTTTTCCCAGAGGCCCAAGGCAAACCCTTACAGCCAGTCAGAGAGATGTCCAGGTCAAAGTAACCTGTTTGATTTTTCCTCTGAGGAACCTGCAGCAGACACACAGAACAAGATTAAGTTTAAACCAGAGCAGCCCGCGGTTCCTTCTTGATAGTTAAATATCGCATTTTCATTACAAGAAGAAAGCGAATGTGATCTACAGTGGAGGTGTATTGAAAACAAGCAAAAGCAGTTAAAATTAAACTACTTGAATAATATTAACACATGACAAAGTGTGAATTGGGATGTGTGAATGTGCGACCCTGAGTTCATAGAAGTGTGACTGGACTGGAGAGAATCTAAAAAAATAAACCCCAACTACAAAATAAGAAAACAAAACAAAAGAACAGAAAAGCAACAATAATCCCTACGACTGCTAAAACAATTACCAGTGAAGTCATAATAATGGTATCCAGAACATTTATTTCTTCTTTTTTTATACTCAGATAAAGGCGAACATTAAGGAAAAAACCCAGAGAGAGAAAATGCAGATTTAAAATGTTTCTTTTGTTTTCTAAATAAAAACTTTTGGGTGCTCGTGTGAAGGAAATAATGCAACTTTTAATAAAATGTTTTCTCCAAAGGGACAAATGAAGAAAAATGTTGATAAAAACAGTTTCTAACCAAATAATAAAAAACAGATTTAAAAATATTGCTGTATTTTTTAGAGTCGTTCTGTTATGGAAATTTAACACAACTATTCCATGAGAAAAACTGATTTTGTCGTTATATCTATATATAAAAACATTAGCTGGGTCTTTATTTTTTTCCCCAGTGTTGCTAAGAGCGAGTGTGAAAGGTCAGTAGAGTCACTTGCGGCTATCAGCTCTGATAGCCAGCCCACTCTTGGCTGCTTACAAAGACAAGCTGCTCATTAAAACTGAATCAAATGTGTGATGGAAAGATTTAGCAGTCTCAAAAAACCTAATTTTTAATCGCTGTGTCCGCCTTGCAATTAATAACTAACTCATGCTTAGCTTATGCATTAACTCATGATAACGTGGTTGCCCAGTAGCAAAAAAAAAAACAAAAAAAAGAGAGGTTGCGAATACTTTAGTCTCTTAAAGACAAACATTCATTGCATTTTCATGGGTGGCTGTGCAGGGAGTCACGGTTTCTGCGGCTGATAACAAAGAGTGGCGACTGTGTTGTTCTAACAAAAAAGCAACCGCATGGACTCCCACGCTAACTGCTCTGCACGCCTGTGTGTGAATGGTCCGACGTTCACTGTACATGAGTAGGCAGCCGCGTGTTTTCTTACGGGGCTGGAGAGCAGAGGCAGGCCGGTGCAGGGGTGGAAGGCCTTTGTTGCTGTGGCGTCCAGAGAGTGGCGATTCTGTTTCTTCCAGCTGTTGCAGGGACGCAGGGGGGAGGGGCTATGAGGACGCTGCAAGATGGCAATGAAGAGAGGAGAGTGATGCAGAAAGTGATATATTTTGTAGCAGAAGAAAAAAAATGATGCACAATTACTAGATACAAAAAACAAAAGAAACTAGGTTATTTTTGGGTGTTCTATTGATGAACATTTGTCATGGAAAAGTTGAAATATCCAAAGCTATAACAGTTTTTAATAAGGTGATGGAATTAGTATACAAATTGTATATTTGTAAAACTCAGTGATGTTTTACAACATCACTGCCCCACAAAAATTGTGTGGGGCAGTATTCATAAAACGTATAGATTTGATTTTTCTATTCCAGAAGAGAGTTATTGGAGTAATTATTGGAAGTGGACACAGATCACACAAACCCAATATTTACAGTTAAACCTATTGAGACTTTATGAATTAACAAGAGTAAATATTTTAAAATTTGTGTATTTCAAATATGTCTGCAAATAGTCTTCTGAGTCGAATAGTCAACTTTCATTTTGTGAATATGGGTAAATTTTCAGAAAAAATATTTTCACTTCTTGCGGCTCCTTTTCATGGATGATTTCTTTTAGTCTTTTAATTAACTATTTACATCTATTACTCTTTACATTTGTTACTGAGTGAATCATTCTAGATAGCTACAGTTCTAGAATGATGGTTTGGGATGGCTACAGGATTATTTCATAACAGGATTCTATAGAGAATCACAAATACTAATGTATTGGGTATTAGACTAGCCATGCTGTTTTTTGTTTGAAGTCTTCTCTTGTCAGTCACATCATTAAAACACAATCTACAGAAAAATTGGTTTCTAAATCAAAAGTTATTTCTGAATCAAATCTCAACCCTAAAAATGAGATTCGAATGTCTACATACTGAAAATTTTGCCTATCTATAAAGGAGCTGAGCCAAAATGATCTTACGAGGATTAAAGGTGATGGAGTCATTTCTGGACTGGATGTGAAGGAGTCACAGTCTGAAGGCGCCTGGTTCTCGTCCCGCAGAGCGGACGCCTGAGCTGGCATGCCGTTCTGGTGCAGACTCTGAAGCTTGCCGTCGTCGTGGATTCTGTAACAGTTTGTGCCTGGGCTGGCGCTGTGGTTGTTCCAACTGAACACCTGGGCGTTTCTTGGTTTGTTCTCCAGGACGGGGGAGGGAGGCGGGGTTTCATGGCTGCTGGGTGTCCTGACTGGGAGCCTCTCCAGCGGGGAAGCTCGTAAACGGCAGGGGACCCGGGTGTCGGCCTGGCCGTTGAGTGAGGTCTCTTCAAGTGTAAACTGAGCACCGTTTTGGGCCCGTGGAGAGCGGCATTCGGCCTGCGGTCCGCCTCGGGGCTTGTCTGTGCAAACGGGCGAGTGTGAGGCGGCGTTGTGCGTGCCGTCTCTTTGAGGTTCGTTGCTGGGTACATGGCCGTTGGTGCAGCCGTTGCTGGCTGGTGGGGGGTGCGAGTACGTGCGCACGGTGTGTGTGATTGTGGTCGTGTGCACGTGGTGGTGCAACGGGCTGGTGCTGCGGCTGTGCCGGGGGGATGAAGGCGGGACGGCCAGCCTCTCCTGGATGAGCCTGGTGATGTCTTGCACTGCCTGGGCAATGAGCGAGCTGTCCCGATTGCTCTCCTTGTCTCTGTCCGTCACTTCTCCGTTCCATTCCTCCGTCTCGGTCATTCTCAGTTTCCTGCAGGCGGCGGGTTTCGGGGAGTAGCTCTCCCGCTTGATAAAGCGTGATGTCTCTGTCACAGGGGTGCTCAACGGCGCGGGCTTAGCGTGTCCCGACTCGTAAGGGCGCATCTCAGGGTCTTTGGTCTTACTGGCGGTTTTGTCGTCGTGGTTGCCACCCCACATGGCTTTGTGAGGGCTGTCGGTGGCGAACAGGCCAGGGGGAAGTGGCGGTGTCGTCGGGTCGCAGAAGTTGAGCCTTTGTGCGATTCGAGCTATGACTTCCTGTCGCTCTTGCAGCAGGGAGCCAATGAGGGGATTAGTTTCGCTTCCAGAAGGCCTCGGGGAGGGGCACCGGGACGACTCAGCCATGGACAAGTTCTTGAAACTTCTCAGAGGCTCTGGGAAGGGAGCCTTGGACTGGTCGGTGTTGCTGGTGCCACAGGTGTAGTCGTCCACTGTGGTGGGGTCGGATGAACCATTGAGTGCCGTGTACAACCACTTTCCCGCTTTACCCGAGGGAAGCGGGGAGGGAGAGTTGGAGCGTGAAGGCGTGGGGGAGCGGGCGGGTCGGTAGAAGAGTGGCGAGCCCTGGCGCTGGGGGATGTTGACTTGTGGGAGCTCTCCGTTGTGAAACGTGTGGTTCTCTCCTGGCTCCTGGCTCTTCTTGCTGTACGGGTGTGACACGGCGGTGTGAGGAAGGTTATTGATCGGGATGTTGTTGATGGGCAGATTAGGGATGGGTAGGCCGTTGAGTAGAAGGCTAGACGTGGAGTTGGAGCTCTTGCGGAATATGCTGGAGTTGGGATGGAGGCTGTCTTTGCCAGGTTCCTGGCTTTTCTTCAGAGTGGGCAGGCCACCGTGGCTGCCAAGGGTGGGGCTGAGGCTGGGGGTCTTGCTGTAGATGGGAGGCAGACCGGTGTGGATGCTACAGGCCAGGGTGGGGTAGGTGGGCTGGCGAGGGAGCGTCTGGACGCGGACCTGCAGGGCGACGCTCTGGGAGACGTTGGGGACGGGGAATATGTGCTCGGACGGTGGCTGGGAAAACTGCCACACCAGATCTTCGTCAGCAGCACTGATCCTGTTGAACAGAGACGAAGAGAGATAATACTACAGAGAATTAGAAGATCATAGTTGAATTCATCTCAGGAATTCAACTTCATGTCATACAGGTTCAGGACAGAGTTATACACATTTATTGGAGTTCATTGTGATGATTTGTTCAAAAAGCTAATGAAAACCCAAACTCTTAAAAATAATACATGAGCCAATACTTTTATTTATTTAAGTAACTTTCCATATCCATACCCAAGTAAAAAAAAAACAACAAAAAAAAAAAATACAATGTTGAAATAAAACAAGATACCTTTGTTTTTTCTTAAGATAAAAAACCCCTGCTTTTTTATCTTAAGCATCACTCAGTTTTTTGAGAAACTTAATGATGGGTCTTTATCAGCTATAATCAATCAAAATTAACAATTAATACTTTTAAAAAATACCACAAAGTTATGTATGTATTCACTCTTTGAGCTATACTAGTTAACTAAATTATATTTATTATTGGTGATTTATTGGTCCTGAGAAAGTTGTGAATTTCTAAATTGAAAACTGATTCGTAGACTTCAGATTTTAAATGCAGTTCTAGCTCATTTGCTTTAGCCTTTGCAGCGTGGTTTCACAGCAGCACTGAAATGCCCGGTCCCATCAGTGTCAAAGCGTCATGTCCGACCTGTACAGGATGTTCCTGGGGACGATGCCATGGGAGGCGCTGAGCCAGGCGCTGAGTTGGGAGAAGAAGACATAGGATCGTACAGCCAGTAGCAGAGTTTTCTCTTCAATGAAACGATCGCCGCTTCTATTAGGAAAAACACAGTTGGAAAGGGGGGTTGGAAGTGTGCCAGTGTGTCAGGTTAATGAGAAAATGGTCATGGGATGCGTGTCTTATAATTTTTTTTTTCTTTAACAAGAATGTTCCCCCTGTTTGTGTGCACGTATATTAGTAGGAAAGTGGGCCAATCTGTAAAGGCCAATTATCCCACTTTGCAACTCCCACATGTGCCCAAAAAAAAAGAAAGAAAAAGAAATCTTTCTTTTGAAGCTTTTTATGCTGAAGAATTAATCTCTAAAAAAACTCAAAAACTAAAAGTGTTTGGTTTTTAGTCAAAAATGCTGAGGTGAACATTTTTTGTTTTTAGGGACCGTTATCTCCAACTCCAGACCAATAACACAACTTGACAGCAACAACCTCTAACAGCAGTAATAAGTGCCCTGCCATGCCACAAAATCTGCTCTCGAACACAACATAAAGGTTGTTGCACTGCCTCCGAACTCCCCAGCTCCCAATCCAATCAAATATCCGTGGGATGCGCAGGAATAAGTCCCATCCATGCGGCACGAACGACCCAAAGGATGAGCTGCCGATTCCCCGGCGGCCGCAAACCAAATCCCATCCCTACGTCCTTCTTTAAAGTATACCGATTCAGAGCAGGCTTCGATTATTTATAGTGCCTTGCAAAAGTTTTCACATACCAGAGACCTTTTCACAGTTTGCTACATTATAACAAACCCCAATGAATTCCACTGAGAGTTTATGTGATAGAAACAAAGTCTAGAAAGAAAATGGATGAAAATAATACCAGAAAGATCAGCATTTCAAAAGATGTCAAAAAAGCCATAAATATAAATAAGAGGGTCAATGGCACTTCAGACAAATTGTTGAGGACCCTTAAAATATCAACTAAAAATAATCAGTACTCCTATTTCAGGATTTTAGTTTTTAGTTTTCTAGACAAATTTAGCAAAAATAACTAAATTCCACAATGGAACTTTGTTCCACGAATAACAAAGAGGCACAATAGACTAAGCAGGACCTAAAAACAGATCCCACCTGTAAAATCAACAAACCTCAACAAAACAAGCCAAACAACCTGAAGCCCCAGCAATTCTGCTGAATTTGGTAACTCCATATCAAGTTTTCAGGATGTCAGAGGCAGACTGGTCTAGAGACCAGCACTTTTATCACAGGTCCCCTAGAGGCTTGGAGATGTTGGTTTAATGATCCCAGTTACTTTTTTTTTTTTTCAAAAGCACTTTGGTGGTCCCATTTTGAAAAGGCATTGTAATATATATTAGATTTGCCACCATTATAAAATAAAACTTTCTAATTAAAGTTATACTGAGTGCTTAAGAGGTGAAAAGTTGAAGAAACAGGAAAAAGAAACAAGGTGTTGATGCAGTTAGTAGATGCACAATATTTGGGACTTTTCTTGCATAGTTCATTAACTCATTCAACTTTGTGTGTGTGTGTGTGTGTGTGTGTGTGTGTGTGTGTGTGTGTGTGTGTGTGTGTGTGTGTGTGTGTGTGTGTGTGTGTGTGTGTGTGTGTGTGTGTGTGTGGCTTACTGTCTTGGAACAGCCTGTAGGGTCCACCTCTCCAACAGCAAAGCATCTTGTTTGATGACTGGGTCACTGATTGGGTCACTTGGGGGACACTCATCACCATAGCAACAGTCTGGCAACAGCATGACCTCGATCATGATAGGGATGTTGTTTCTCCAAAGCAGAATCACCTCCGAACGTGTTCGCCTGGCTTGTCGGCACTGGCGGACACACAGGCAGAGGAGGAAGGTTAGTGCTTATTAGTAAATGTCAAGTTTGGGGAGGGGGAGCAGATGGGGCTTTTGGGAAATTCATTAATATCTTTTATACAGTTTTCATCTAGATTTACTAAAACGATAGTTCACATTTACAGTTTTATTACATATAAATATTATATGTTATACTCTTATCATACCAGAGTTCTCAGTCGTTGAAATATTTGGGAGGCTTTAAATATGGAGCCCAGAAAAAATGAAAACAGGAAAGAAATGATTGATTTTAAGAACATTTTTAAATGAATACGCATCACAACACCAGAGTTTTACACTCTAAGAAACATTCACATGAACAGAGTTAAAGATTTACCTCTGGCCACAGAAAACACAACATTGCAGAGAAAAACCCAGTCAGGTTATTCATCATTAGAAAAAAGAAACAAAACGCCCCAGAAACTCTTTTATTCTATTTTTAACCATCAAAGATAATACTATCAATTTTTTCCTCTGCAACATTGTTTAGCTTATTTCTTCTTCTTGTGAAAAATACATTTTTGCTTGTCCCATCAAAACATTTAACAATTTTCACTTAGTAGCTTCTTTTTTGTCTAGCGTGCACCAAATATAAAAACCACTGGAGACTAATGTTTTTTAAAAAACATCTTGCATCAAAATAAACAACAGTGCAAGATTGTTTTAATTTAAGAAGGAGCAAAAGAAAGTGACTAAGAAAGAGCCTAAGAAACAAATGATGGAGAGATAAAAGGAAAGAAAAGATGAAGGGAAGACAAAGACAGAAAGAGAAAAACAGATAAAAAGAAATAGAGAAAGAAAGAAAAAATGAAGGAAAAAGAAACAAAATTGTGGTACAACAACAAAAAAAGCAAGAAGAAAAGAAGGAATAAAAGTGTGGACAGAAGGAAAGATACAAAGATGAAAAAGTGCAGATACAAGAAAAAAATTAAGTAAATGATACATGGAACAAAGAAAGGAGGTAGGAGACAGATAAGGAAGTGCACAAGAAAAACAAAAAATAAAAGAAATAAGGAAGTATGGAAGAAGTAGTGATTGGTGTACATGGAATAGAGAACAAATTTTGGAAATAATACTGTTTCTCCACACAATCCAGAACCAGAAAATACTGAAAAACAGTAGTGTGGGAAACCTTACCATATAAACAAACAGGAAGGCTTTTCAAAGGTAAAATAAACAACCAAATGTGTGACTGGTGTGTTTGTGTTGAATTGGCACCTGAGGCAGTTTGTCGCTGCATTCATGCTTGTGGAGAGGAGGCATGCCTGACTGAGCCGGGGGGCAGTGCAGCCCCTCAGTCCTGCCTTTCACTGAGTACTCCGGTGTCCTTCCCTCTGTGATCAGCAAGGTCAGGAACACCAGGAACTCCTCGGCGTCATACTCGAAAAACTCCTCTGTCACATCTAAGACAGAAGAAGAAGAACAACAAAAAAAGAGGCACAAGGTAAGCATAATCACAAAAGAAACAAACATTGAGCAGGGAAACAGCTGGAGGAAAGCAGATAACTTAGGCTATTCAGTGCATGATTCTGGGGCATTCCCAAAAAAAATAAATAAATCTCTTAGCAATGACAGATATCCACCCGTATTTTGTTTTTACTCAGATGGATGGGGTCATTTGACTGAACGAATCCTGTTTGGGGAAGGGCGAGGGTGGAAGGCAGAGCATGACAACTTTTCCAGTTTGTTCGCCGTAAAGGGAACATATTTAGAGGCATTGTGTCAGCTGAGCCGTGGGGAGAAGACACACTTCAGCTCTTCTCTTGCGCAGAGGGAACAAAAGGCACAAGAACAAGCAGAACTGATAATGACTTCATTCATGCTCATTGGATGACATTCGCAAACCACGTATAAGCGGAGACAACAGGACAGAATAAAGGAGGGTGTGCTACACCTCCCTGCTGCTGTAACGTGGGAGGGACAGAATGAAGCTTTCTGTGGTGAAGAAGGTTCTGTTCCTCCGCAACTTTGTTGGTCAGCAAATGTTTGCTTTCACAGACTGCAGCTAGAGCAATGTTTTGCAGCCGTGACTGTGTGCATTCAAAGTTAAACATGAGAAATCAAATGCTGGCTGGAATAGTTCGTACCATGACTGTCTCTGACAGGGACTGTTTGGTTACAGAATAATCAAAAGAAAAAGAAAAAGAAAAAAAAAAAAACAAAGATTCTTTTCCGAATGAGTTGAAGACGCATACCCTCAGCACCACTCTTCAGTGTAGATGCAAGTGAAGATTACCCAGAGTTAGCTATTTTCAGCATGAGTAAGGCATTTAGTTTTGAAGCTAAGCTAAAAAAATTCTTTTTTTTTTTTTTTTTTTTTTTACTCAAATGACATAGCGAAAACTATGTCATCCAAGGAGTTCTGGGCAGAACATATTTACAGACAAAGAAAGTTTTTCATCTTAAATTCAAAAATTTTTGTATAATTTTGGCTCAGTTATTGCTCGATTTATTCTCTCAGAAAATGGCCTTTTCATTTAGCCTGCAGAAAAGTAGTGATCGATGATTGATCAAAATTAAATGCTGATTATTTCATCAATCGATTCATTGTGATTAATTCGATTGTTTCTGCCCTGCATGAATGTTATTCCGTCTTAAAATTGGGTGCTCTTTGGCAAAATGTTTCTAAAACCGAAGGTCAACTATCAGCGTTAACGTCTGATCAATTTATCTGTATACATAAAAATGAAATTGTGTTATGTCCAGTGATGCATAGATCCAGAGTAAGTATTTTTGACAATTATAGGGACTATTTTTGCATGTCACTTCCTCCACTCCTCCAGAGGAAACTCCCTGAATCCCAGAGGAGGTCAGGTGATTCACAGCAGCACAGAAGAAAAAAAAAAAGAAGAAAATCACAGCTTTCTCTCTCTTGACAGCACACCGATGTGCAGAGGCTCCCAGCTCGTAACCTTGAAGCTTCTAAATACTTGATTCAGTGTCAACCTGAAGTAAAATGCAGATGGAAACTATTTTTTTTTTCCTTTTGATTAACATCCCATGTCCGCACAAGGACAGAGGTGAAGAAGACACACACATACACACACACACTCCATAAGAGCTGGGCTTGCTAAACCAGAAACTCCCTCAGCTGGCTCTGCAGAAGTGTATGCGAGGATCGCTCTCAGCCAGCCAGTCACGCACATCCCTCCAAGGGAACTCCTCCTACATGACTCTGGGCTGCTGCATGTGAAGAGAGACGATCCGATACAAAACGTGAAGGAAAGAGGGGATGGGGGGAGGAGGAGGACGGTGGAGGGGTCTGTTAGCCAGCTGCAGGCTAAATAAACCAGGAGGCTAAGGAAAGTGAGAGAGAGAGAGGGGGGGGTTTATGTCCCGAGACAATACCCTTTTTCTTCATGGGCTGAAATCATAAAGGTCTGAACAAAAGAAGCCAGAAAACAGCAGCAAGAGTGCAAGCTATATGACAACGGTCAACATTCAAGGTCACAGTATACATCATATTTACACACACACATTAGATATAGGTTGCTCTAACACCATTATAAACAACTACAGTTTCATGCGCTCATGTTAGAGAAAAAGCTCCTGCTCCACAGATTCAGTTGAAAGGAAACATTGTGATGGAGGCTGGGTCAAAGGAACAGGAAGATGGTGGAGCAAGTTAGCCTGAGGGTGTTTTGAGACCAGACAGTCAGGTAGACTGGGTTTGATTGGGGACCAAAACTGCAACAAACTAACTGAAAAACCTCTTGACTTCCTCGCTTGTGGTGGCGCTGAACCAAGAACCACTGAAGGAAACAACAAAAAACCCCGGAAGAAGAAATAAGGACAACTTCCTTCATAAAATGTAAACAAAGATGGAGGTTCATCAGTGTGGGATTTCTCTTTTGTTTTTGGCGAAAGACCACAAGCCATTTAGGTTACTGCCTTTGTTGTGGTGGTTTTGGCCAGCATGCTTTGCGCTATAGTCTGTTTCTTGCTTTTGGAGAGGTCTCTCGTCTGTTTAGCATTCACATATGAATTTGAACTCTTCATTTTAACTGAAAAGAGACCTAGATTTTTAGATGGGCCAGAGTTCAATTGTGTATTTTCACCTCCAAAAACAAACCGGACTTTCTAGCCAAACAAACTATAGAGTTTGATTAAGGCGGACTGAACAGGACTGGTGTGAATGAACTCTAAGAAGACTGGAGGAAGCTAAGGCTAACATACAGCCTCTGAGGGCGGGTGGTATGCAAACCATATCCTCTGATGAAAACATACACAGAGCCTCAATTCACATGTCCACCCGGGGTGTTAGATTGCTTAGCAAGCAATACAAACATCTGCTATAGGTCACATGGCAAAAACACACATATGTACTCCCATAAACTACCAGCACATCAGTGACAAATAATATCATCAAAGGAAAATAAATTAAGAAAAGAAACATACAATGAAACGCACACGTGCAGTGGTGCACAAAGGCCTACTGATGCTGGTTTTACTTAAGGGGCCCGGGACGCTCAGATCAGAGCTGTCATTCATTTAGGCATTGTGCCTGTGCAGAGCATTCCTATGTGGCCTACATACTCCCAACACAAAAGGACTGTCTCAATAAGATTTAAAGGAGACCATGATGCAGAACAGCACAACAAAGCCAAGATGGAGGAAATCTGCATTTCTGCTTTACCCACTGCCAAGAAGTGCAATTTCTCTGCACTGTTGCATTGTTGAATAAAGATTAACACTTGTAATTTATCGCAGGCTTGACAGCAGGTTTGCTAGTGCATGATTTAGTCCAAGTGATTAACCAGCTAATCACAGGTGCACAACTCTGGTGTTAATGTGTGTCATACATTGGGTAACATGTCGGGTTAATACTCTGGTTTCTCATTATTGGACCAGTTTTGATCTGCTACTTAGTACATCTGAGGGTCCTGAAGATCAGTCGGCTGAGCACACATGCACGGTTGTCCATGTGCCTCCCTCTGCGTCCTTGAGCTAAAAGATCAGCACAAAGTCATGAGGGATGGAAAAATGCCTCCAGGGCTGGAGCAGAGGTCTGCCTTGATAGCAAAACAAGCTCTTTCTTCAAAGTAAACATGGCGACATTGATGTTTATGTAATTCTTCCCCGCTAAGAACTATTAGATGGCAAATAAAAAAAAAAAGTTACATCAATAAAATACTATACAAGCAGATCTTAAAACGTACAAAAGTTTTCCTGCTCCTGAAATTGGACAAGATAGGAACTACTGTCTTTGGTTCTGAACACCATTTATTCAATTCGTCAGAGGGGAAAAACCTTGAGTTATTTCTGAATAGTTTCAGGACATCTTTGAACTCTTACAAAAAAATTCCCAAGATTTTTTTCTGTCATTAATACAATTTTTCCAAAGAATATAGTGTATTAATTATGTTCTTGTAAGTTTTGAAGTTCCAAATGACCAAGCGCCATCTTGTTATGACAAACTAATATACCTCTAACAAAGAGCTTAGAAACAGTAGCTTCCGAGAGTTTATGAAGTGTAACATATACCTTTAGGTACGCTGCTAATGGTCAACACTGTTGAATGGCTGGTTGTTCCAAGCGCCTTTTCTTCAGATTCTGATTTTATTCTTGAAGTTACAGTTAAGTACCATGCCTTTCATTTTCTTTGGGTAAGTACTCATTTCCAACACCATCAGTGTTTGTGCCATTTCCTGTTGTCTCAAACTCCTCTAGATCTAATTTCCTGGTTTCCCTCGATAAGACAACATTGTGTTTACTTGCCTGAATTTGACTTGTCTGAACATCATTTTAATTGAGTTTGAATTAAGGCCGTTTGTTTTTATTGACAATGCAGTGGTTACATTTGTTGTGATCTGGCATTGTAGGAATAAAGTCAAGTGAACTAGACTGTGTGCTGTACACATACTTGTGACGAGATCCTTGAACACGCCAGTGATTACGTTTCACTGAATGCATGTAAGTGGGATATGTTTTTACACTTAATATCAGGGAGTGCTGTTGCTTTAACAGAGAAACAGATGGGAAGACAGAAGGAGGTGATCGAGTCACACACATTCAGATATGATGACCCATTAATCCCCGCACTGTGGCCACACAATCGCTGCCTGTTTCTCTTCTTTCTATGGCAAAGGCTCGCTGTATTCTCCACACATACAAATGTTCTCATACACACTCTGGCAGCTAATTTGAATGCAGTATAAGTATCCATATGGCTACCACTCCCATCTCCCTTTGTCCTATGTTCAACCAGCACAAAGTGCTCTTAGTTATTTGAACAGCATTATGTTTTAATAATGATCGCTATCAATATTCAACAATGATTCTTCCTTTCATAAAATTTTTTTATCAATCAGTTTTGATAATGAATGTCAGAATGACAAATACTACACAGACCAGCAAATGGTTTGTTTCATCCCTATGACTGGCCTAAAAATATTAAGCTCTC